CCATTCTGGTTGGGGTAACGTGGTCTCTCACTGTGGTTTTTATTTGCATTTCCCCGATTAGTGATACTGGACATTTTTTTATACACCTGATGGCCATTTATTTATTTTCTTTTGAAAAGAATTTTGTTTATATCTGCTCTGCTTTTTGTTGGGCCCCTGCCTGCCACTTCAGCCTCATCTCTATCCCATCTTCTATTCTCTTACGGTTTCCTCATCCCATACCCTAACATCACTGCACCTCCTAGGGACGTTACTACTTTGTAGGTAACTACTGTACTACTTTGAGGTTGCTGTTGTACACCTGTCACTGCTGTTTTAAGTTCTTCCTAATATCTCCCAAATTAAGCTTTGAGGACCTGGCCCTGCTCAGACTGGGTCAGCCTCCCTTATTCTGGCGCCCACTTCACTTAGATTGTCCCAGCTTGATCATTCATCTAAATTGGAGAACGCTCCAGTGAAGGGGCTTCAGCTTTGATCCTTGTACTGGGCACCTACCTAGTAGGGGCTCAATAAATGTTTATTGACCAAATGAAACCGGAAGTGTGAGTGAGTGAATGAATGGATGGATGGGCGGGAATACACCGGGTCTCACTGAGCATTAGGAGGCGCTCGCCAGGAGTGTGCTCCTTTCCCTTAACCAGCCCGAGTTCAGCCAGCGGGTCCCCAGCCGGAGGAGTGGGCCGGGGCCCAGGCCGGGGGAGGGGAGGCGATCCGGGCCCGGCCAGTGCGCCAGGGCTCCGCAGCCCGCAGCCGCACGCAGCTAGGGGGGAGGGGGCCGGCGGGGACGTGGGGTGGGGGGAGTGCATTGCGGGGGGCGCCCTCCTGCCATCTCCTTTCATCCTTGCTCTCTGGGGTCTCCAGGAATGAAAATTGACCCCAGCCTGGACAGAGCGCGCGAATGAAAGGCGGCCCTCGGACCGAGAGAGGAGCCTCGTCCCGCCTGGGCTGCGGAAACTAGCAGAGCCGGGGGTGTCCCGCCGCGCGGGCTTCCGAAAGCGGGAGAAGGGGGACAGCATCTCCCCTCGACCTGCTGCCTGCACAGGACACACACCCCTGCTGGCACCTTACCACCCCAGCATGCGACCCCGCCCCAATTCTTGGATCAGAATCTCGAGTCTCTTCCAGCACCTTCCCCTCTTTCCTCTGGGCCTTGGTATGCCCCAGGGGACAGATGTCTTGGGATCTTTAACATTTGGGATGCTGCAAATGCCGAAGTTAAATGAAATACCTCGGGGGAGGGCGGGCCGGGGGGAGGCTCTGGGAGGGGGAAGATGGCCTGGACAAACAGGTCCTGAAGCTGCGAGGCAGGAACCCGGGGCGAGAGGGCAGGCGGGCGGCGCCAGAGCTCCATGGGACAGGTAAGGGGGAAAACTTAGGGGGACCCAGCGCGGGTGAACTGAGGGGGATCAAACGCTTGAACCCACGGTCTTCAGCCGTAGCGGAGGGGGCCTTACAGGGACTGGGGTAATCTTACCAAGGGGGTGGGGATTCTGAGTTCCTACCAAAAATGCATTTTTCCAACCCTGCAACTTTTCTCCATCGACCTTCTTATGCCTGTGGATCTCCTGGCCAGGTTCCGGGAAGCTAGAAAGCAGCCAAACAAAAGGAGCAAAGTCTGGGGCCGGCCTGGATGTGGAGGGCGCGGTGGGGGAGGGGTGCAGGGTGGACAGGACAAAGGGGCTTTTTAAAGAAAAGTCTAGAGGTCTGATTTCAGGGCGCATTCCGGGCTAGCTTGGAATTCCCCTGCTCCAGCCCTCTCCACCTTCCTTTGGTGGAGGAGAACACCTTTCCCAATGGACAGGGAGGAGAGTGGAAAAGAAAGTTAAGAAATGATCTCCTACCCTTCTTGCCTAGAGGGTCCCAGGCTATTTCCCTTCCTCCTCTTCCCACTGTTGGCTCTGGTGGCTAACCACTGATTCATTAATTCATTAAGTACAATATTAGGCGTGCAGGAGACTGTCCTTTGCTGGGTGCTGTTGGGGATTTGGAGATGGTAAGATGAAGCCATTGCTTTAAAGAACTTCCAATCTGATGTTATCAGAAGACACTTGAAACAACTTAAAAAAGAATTGGAGAGTGGGTGGCTACTCTATGGAAGAGTTTTCCATTCAAGACTCTTGCATAGGAAATGAAAACCCTATAAGGGGTACAGATTTTTCTTCCTTGGGGGGGGGGTTCTTGTCCACAAACATCAGATTCCAAGGACCGTAAAGTTACTCAAGGAAACACCATTTTCTCAACAACTGGGGTCTTGACAGTGATATTCTGGGTTTAGAGCTGGGGCATCCACCCCCTGACTACCTAGACTGGCAAGAGTGGGGTGCTAAGTTCCAAATTCCCAGCTGGCCTCTGGAGTGCCCACCTCCTTTTTGGTACTTTGAGTGCAGTGACATGGCAATCAGTTGGACCCAATGGAGCCTCTGTGGGGTTCGTTGGAGGAGGGTTGGTTTGTCAGCTTCCTTCCAAACTTGTGAATCTGTGGTGTTGGGAAGTGCTGGGAGTGAATTTAGGGGAGAAGGTATCTTTGAGAATTCTGGAGGATCAATGCAAGCGGGGAGGATGATCATCTGTACTTCTCTCCTGTGAACTCAGGGATGGTGAGTTGCCTGAGGTCAGGGATTCTTTATTTTTATTTATTTATTTATTTATTATTGTTGGGGATTCATTGAGGGCACAAGAAACCAGGTTACACTGATTGCATTTGTTAGGTAAAGTCCCTCTTACAATTGTGTCTTGCCCCCCAAAGGTGTGTCACACACCAAGACACCCTCCCTCCTTCCCTCTTTCTGCTCTTCAGGGATTCTTAACTGGGTCCAGGGGGCACCCAGGCATCTGTGGATAGAATTCAGGGAGTTTGTAAACTCAAAATGGGGGAAAGTACCTCTTTATTTCTCGCCAAACTTTAACAGGGATTGAGCATTATGTTTAGTTGTGAAGGCAGCTAACCAGGGAGCACTGGCACTACCTGTGATTTTGCCATTAGTGGAATTCACAGTTGCATCTCACCTTGCAGTTGTGCAGCTGTCTTGAAATATCGTTTACATTCATCACTTGTATGAACTACCCCCTGCTAGATTCCGTTCAATATTAATAAAGAAGCATATATAGCACTATGGCTTTTTTTTTTTTTTTTTTTGCTTTTAGAACTATATTTCAATATAATTGATTCTCTTAGTGGTTATCTCAATTTTAATTTATGCATTAAGAAAGATAAGCTTTGGGCTGATTCTAGAAACTTCCACACCCCTCCACCTGGAGCTGGGGGAAGGGCAAGGTAGAGGAAGGGCCATGCCCAAAGTTGGTCTCTCTGTTTGACTTTGGAAGCAAGTGCTTCCTCTGTAGGGAATGCTGCATTGTGGAGGCCTGGGGAGGAGGGAGGACTGTTGGCTCTTTGGGAGACCCTAAGAGCACACTCTTCATGGGGTAGTGGGTATTGTCCCTTGTTAGGATCCCTCAGCCTCAGTGTGGGGAGAAAGGGAGGTGATCAACCTGGAGCACTCAGGCATTGTTTGGAAAGAGGGTGTGTGCAGGAATGTGGAGGTGAGCTAGGATATGTGTGTGGGAAGAGTGGGGGGCATGGGTAAAGCTTGCCCTGAGAGTCCTCGGGCCCTGGGCCCTGCGCTGGGGGGGCAGGAAGTGGGGAAGCAATTCAGAGGTGCTGGAATCTGAAGGAGGCATGGTGAGAATATCAAAGGATGGGAGGAAAGGAAGGTGGTGGAATAGACCCTTGCAGCCCAATC